CATCCATGAGGAAGACGAATTTTGCTGTTTCTTTTCTTTCTTTTTTTTTTTTTAAAGATTTTATTTATTTATTCATGAGAGACAGAGAGAGAGAGAGAGAGAGAGAGAGGCAGAGGGAGAAGCAGGCTCCCAAGGAGCAGGGAGCCTGATGTCGGACTCGATCCCAGGACCTTGGGATCATGACCTGAGCCGAAGGCAGACGCTTAACCATCTGAGCCACCCAGGCGCCCGCTGTTTATTTTCTTATATATGCTGCATAAAGAAGGAAATGTAAATAAATAACAAATACACATGTGCAGATTTTGTGTATAAAGTACTGTGCTAGGGGTGACAGTGATCAAAAGGGACAGTTGACAGCCAGGGTCCTTAAGAACATGGATTCTAGAAAAGTAGCAATCCAAAACTGAGTGAGTATCATTAAGTGCCCAGGGAATGGTACGGTATAAAGACTAAATTTTACAGGGGCTAGGGAGGACCGGAAAACCCAGGACTGCTGATGTTGATAATAAGTTTACCTTAACAAAGCCCTTACTGTACCAGACAATGTTCTTCATGCTTGTGTACAACCTTATTTCATCTTTGCAACTATGAGGTAGGTCCTAGGAATATATCAGAATATGGCCTTGGCCTCAGCATTCAATCGACATCTGTTATTCAGCTTCAGCTTCAATCTTCAGGCCTGAATTTCTGCCTGGTCAATAATCATGTGGTCACAGGGGTGACCAACATATTTCATTAATGTAACAATGTGAGAAATAAGGAAATGAAGCATGTTTGAATTCATCATCATTATCTGAACATGCCCCTTCAGAAACAGGGAAGCATTCTTTTTTTTTTCTTTAAAGATTTTATTTATTTGTCAGAGAGAGAGAGCGAGAGAGCATGAGAGCATAAGCAGGGGGTGTGGCAGGCAGAGGGAGAAGCAGGCTCCCCGCTGAGCAAGGAACCAATGCGGAACTCGATCCCAAGACCCTGGGATCATGACCTGAGCCAAAGGTAGATGCTTAACTGACTGAGCCACCCAGATGTCCCCAGGGAAACATTCTACATGTAAAGTTTAACGGAAATCTCCTTGTGAGCTTTATCTCTAGAAATGTTATCAGTGGCAGAAGTATGTTATTTTTTTTTGGAAGAATACAATATAAGCATGAAACATTAATCTTACATAGAAAACAATTACAATGTACAACTACAGTTCTTAAATAGGATTAGTTAACTGCATTACTAATATTAAGAGTACATTAAAAAAGAACAGCATATACTTTTTTTTTTAAGATTTTATTTATTTATTTGAGAGAGAGA